TGCCTGGTAGAGCAGAGCTTGCCACCAGGTGCCCTCTGTTGCAGCAGCCGCCATGCATACCTCCTCACCTCTCTTTGCAGGCTCGTTACCCTCATCTTATCAGCAGAGTGAGAGGAAGAGGAACGTTCTGTTCGTTTGACACTCCAAATGATGCAACTAGAAACAAGTTAATTACAATAGCCAGAAACAAAGGTAAGAAAGTTTGTGAGTGGATCAGCTTCAAATGACAAACAGAGCATATGTAATGCTTTAAATTCTCCTTTTTCATATGGTGTATGTGTACTACAGTATCAGAGGACAGCAGTGAAATTATGAACAAAGCTGTATTTAGACTCTTCTGGAAATACTTGTATTTTTCGGAGACATCAGACCAGTCCGTTGCATGGTGTGTACATTCACCTTTCTCTCCAGGTCTAATGTTACTGGAAGAGATGTATCTAGGGCAGGAGTTTTTGTGAAATCGCTTTCATAGTCCTCTGCAGTGACCTTAGGTGCACCTAGGCACGGCTTACTTGTAGAAACACATCAGGAAAATTAGAAGAAAGTTAATGTAACTGTCACTCAGGAAACACAGGGAGAACAACTATGAATTTTATGGAATACCTAATAATGAAATACAATGAGTTGCCTCAAATGGGCACAGATCTACAACTACACCCCTCTTTTTCTAAACTCTTACCCAGCTGTCGACAAGCCCAGGCGTCAGGAGGGGAACCTCGTGATCTGAAGCCTAACATTCTCTTTGAATTTAACTGTGTGGGGGCCCTGGGTTTGCTGCTGCCAGTTTTTGCTGTTACTCTTATCTCTTGAAAGAAGCAGGCATCATGCATCTAAACTACTGTGAAAGCAAAATTTTAGAGTGTAGAAGACATTGATGTTTTTTGTTCTTGGAAACTAAGCCAGCAGGGAGAGAAGGCAAGCTGTTTGTTTCATAGTAAACCAAGGCTATGCTTAGAGGCAAGGTAAGCTCAGCTCAATGGTATGGATTTTTGTTGCCCACAAACATTTCAAAGAACTAACTGATTTTGGGGTAAAAAAAATACCGTACATTTGAAGTACTGCAGGAAGAAGTTGGCCAGCGCTGAGATATTTTAACTTCTTGTAATTAAAAACAAAATTGCAAAGAAACCTACTGTGTCTTATTCTGGCATTGGGGTACTTAACCCGTAGAGTACTGCAGCTTTGAAGTGTCAGATGCTGTTTGAGCTCTGTGCTGGATGGAGTCTTCCCATTGATGTTGGGATTAGTCCCAGCATTCCAATTGTTTTACAGAACAGCTACAGCCACCCACAGCGTTCTTCTGAGTTGCTGTGAAGCTCAAGGCCCCTTTGCACCACTGACTACGTGCTGTATCATTGTGTGGTTAGCAGTGATTTGGGGAGCTTCTGTTGGCCCTCCACAGTGAGGTGGACCTCGTTTGGAGACCTGCATTTTCGGGATATTTGGCAAAGATGGAAATGACTAGAGGACCTATTCTCTTCTCGTTTTAGGCGTTGTGCTGGGAGGCTGTGGCGACAGATCGATTCGTTTTCGTCCAACACTGATCTTCAAGGATCATCATGCGCACCTCTTTCTGAACATTTTCAGTGACATCTTAGCAAATTTCAAGTAAAAAGCAGTTCCCTTGCACTGAACAGCTGATTATGAAATTAGTTTGCATTAATTCATGTCTTCTCTGCTTACAAGATAAGTGTAAAGTCATAAACTAAGGTTTGTGTTCTGTCTGTAATCCTGCCCAAGGCAAGCTGCTCCATGCAAACTCGACCCAGGCGGAGCATTGGTACCGGTCACCAGCAGGTACATGCAGCTGTCGTCCCACACTGCATTTGTAGAAGCTGTGGCCCTCCGTCTTCTGGCTTGGGTCATATTAATTGCAGAGTCCTCTCTACATTCATGGCCCTGACTATCTGATTGTCTAAATATGACCTGGTAGAGTCCGTTTTCACAGGTAATCCCAGCAGATTTACTCTTGCGTCCAGAAGCAGCAACAAGTATGGCCTAATACTTAAAGCCACATGCCTGCCATACAGAAAGTGCCATTCCCTAATGGTAGCTGGAATAAAATAGGTGTTTCAAGGAAAGCTCTGCTTTCCACCACTGCCAAGTACAGTATTTTACAGAATAACGTCCAGCTGTATTCCCCTGAATACAGACGTCTGCCACACCAACTGGATCAGGATGCCATCAGCTACGCTATGCCCAGCCTACACGTGCTGCTCCAGAGGCACTAATGCACTCAGCCACAGGTGCAGCGCGGTAAGTGGCACTGAAGTACTTGTTCTTTTTTCCCTCATCCTGGATTTTAAAACTTTTGACTTCTCTTACAATCAGACTTGTACAGAGAAAACTATGCCCTGAAGTATGTAATTTGGCAAAGCTTAGAGAATCATGTGAAGCACATTATTTCGACCTCTGTCAGCAATCTAGAATGATTTGAGATTATTTTACCATTTGCCCATAACACACAATAGCCATTAATTTATCTATCACAAGTTCTACATGAATACTTGAGGTATTTTGTAAAACTACAGCAGAATTACTTGACCTTAGCCATTACCTGACATTAGAGCCACTACAGTGAAGGCCTACTCCTAATTGCACACTTATAATGCAAAGTAATTCTGGTTTTGTTCTAACAGTTAATTCTAAGTCATTGATACTTCAGAGATCTTCTAGAAAGCCACAGGATCAAAAAGTGTCAACGGTTCATTAATTTGTTTCTCTTCAGAGAATTGTTTTGGACGTCTCTTTACTCTTTGCTGTTTGCTTAAGGCTGACTTGAGCTAGGTCTGGTGCCTTTTATTCTTCTTCTTGGCTAGCAAGCATCTGGATTTTGCTTACTAAGTTTAACTCTCTGTTGTGCACCAAAAACCAGGGACCACAGTGGACTTTACAGTTGCCCTATTAGGAACCGACCACAATTTTTAAGTACATAATAAGAGCCAGAGCAGTTAAAAGACTTACAGGTTTAATACAGCTACCAAAATGTGAAGGGTTTCTTACCTGCTTTGAAGTGTTAATCATGGTTTTCTCATTCATTTTTTGACTGCTGGTATTGGGAAACTCAAGTACACTCACTTCTGCTAGCTTAAAAATAATGGGAATTCTGTAAACCTCTCTGCAGAAACCAGAATTCTGGTACCAGCTGGTCAGAACCTGAGCAGGTTTTTAAACAGAGGCTGTAGAAATCTGGGGGAAGGACTGGTGAATTAGTGTTCAAGAAAACCTCATTGTCATCGCTGTCCTTTAAGTGTATTAGCAGCAAGAGGAAAGTCGAACCGAGAACTGTATTTGACAGCGTTTTGGGAATTGGTTTGTTCAACATATCAGTGCAGTAGTTTTAGTACATGTCTCTAGCAAGTCTTGTACTTTTACAGAAGCAAAGGTCCAGTAATTTGAAGTCTTACCACATCTTCACTTTTATTATGAATACTCTAGGTGTTTTTATAATTTTTACTGACACTCAGTAACTGTATAATTGTGTACAACATGTTGATGAAATCATCTTAGAGAATACATAGAAAGCACTGCAGCTGAAGCATATAAAGTTAATATTGTTTACAGCATACTGTGGACAGTGCCAAATAAATGTTTAAACAAATACTTAACTACACTTCATGGTGTAACTAGTAACTGTACACAGATTCATAAAAAATGACATCTCATGTGTAATCAATATTCTTAAATAAAATATTTGTAATTGAACTTCTCCGGGACTTTTTATTTTACACCTAGTATATACATAACTGCATCATTAGTGCATATTAAATATATTCTTATGAAGATAAGCCTCAAAAAACCATGCTGTATGCATACCATCCGCTGTATTTTACTGCCGTGGTGTTTAAGCCAAGGAACATTTCTCTTTTCCTTTTGATACTGCTGTACCACACAGCATCAGCCAAAAATGTAAAACAATGGAGCCCCCGTTTTTTTTTCTCAACACAAATAAATAGTAAATCAGGGTAACCCTTGCACTTAAACGGCAATTGTACTTAACCTGCATCTGCCAATCCACCAAGAGACAGAGGTTTCAATACGCGTGAGGAAGAAGCAGGGAAAAGAACACTCCAAATTTCTCTATTGGCGAGGGTCACGTTATTTGCCATTGTTTCAAATGAAATAACAGCCAGAAGAGCAGTGTAAGGAGTTCACTTGCTTCTGACAATTCGAAAAGTTTTACATGTTACAAGTGATGAGGTTTGATTCTTTCTCGGGTTTAAATCCTACTCCTCACTCCTACGGAGGTTTTGGAAAAGGAGGAATCATACTAACACTGCAGAGTAAGACCACTGTCCTTCACGGACACAGGTGCTGAGGTGATCAACCCTGCAAGCTCAACAGAATACAAGTACACATATTTTCAGCCTTAATTCCACATAGCTTTTAGGTGTCTTACCTTTTTTCTTTTCATTTTAGGTAAACCCAGGCTGGGGGAGTAGGGAGTGGAAAGGGTGTTTGGCAACAGAGCTTTTGATGGTAAAATATGCCCAAATCAATAGACACGTCAAGGGATACAGATGACTTGTTTCCCAGGCTGCATGGTAATCTTCACAGAAGACTGCTTAATTCACATTGTTACCAAAATTAGACTTTTGGTAACAGTCTTAGACTTTTACATGCAATCCCTTACCTCAAGTGTTACAGCATTGATTACGTGTCATTCACACATACAAAACAAACACAAACATGAATATATGCAAAGGAGGACAAGTAGTTCCAAATTTTCAGATGATCATTAGGATCCAAACTGAACAAAGGATCACAGACTGTCCCTGTAACTCACAGCAACATAGTTTAGGTGTGTTCTTCCTTTATTCCAATGGGAAAGCAATTTCTATGAGAGGCTCCCGAAACGCTGTCCAGCCTTTAACTTACCCTTACAGCTGAACCATCCACGTGTCTTGCAACATGCACCCTTGTTTTGCCCAGTTACGTTCACACCCTGGAAGACCTTGCCAAGAGACCCCACGCACCTTACACAGCACTACATACCGCTCTTTCAGTTACCTCCATTTTATTAACGCACGAGCGTGTGTATCTCTGACATTCAGCATTATTTATCACATGTATGGATGAGACAAGTTTTCATTTCAAGAGGCTTCCCAGTCAACCTAAAATTCGCTAAAAGAAACAATGAATTTAAAGTGAGGACGCTCTGGCAGAGTTACCGCATTTCACTTCCAAGAGTTTTTCCCGTTCAAAAACAATCGAAGAGGCCAGCTGAAACAGTCAGGGTCAGCATCAGGAATTCAGCCCCCTACTGCACGTTCCACATAGGACAGTTTAGACTTGGAACTGCTGGTGACGGCGCACCATGCACGTCACTGTATCCAACGCGGAAGAGACCCTGCTCACACCTTCAACAAGCTGCAAAGACATTTAATCCAGTGGATTGTTCTTTACCATTTCTACTTTCTACACTGAGTGCACTTACCAGCAGGCTTTGCATAGGAAAATGACAGAGGTATGTCAGTTTGGTAAACTAAACGTCACAGAAGAATAAGCACAATGAACAGGCAACAGGGAAAATCACTGGAAATTAGCTGCTGTATCACTCAAATCCTCCAAATATTTGGGTAAACTTCTGTCTATCTACAATCTGGCCAAACTTAATCGTAAAATATAAAATATCTGTACTATTATACCGTTTGAACTGGAGAAGTACCTCCCCCTTGCTATCTCCAGCTTCATCCAAAGGCATCACTGTCTCTACGGGACAGTAAATGTCATTGCGTCTTCCCCAAAACGTCAAGTGGGCCACTTTGACAGTACGGCCAGTTTCATTTAAGTAGATTAATCCAATAATTCGTCTCAAAAAGTAGCTCATACCATACAACATTGCACCAGCAAAGAACGCAATGCCCGTTGTATACAAGAGGATATTCTGAGAAACCTGGTCTTGCAGATAGAGGTAGCAGATGGGAGGCAGCATGACCATGGTGGTGGCAGTCTGCAGCAGCTTCAGTCTGGACAGCACCCTGCAGTACTTAATCCCCGGAAACCTGTAGACCAGTTTGAACTCTTCTGTCTTCTCATCCAGAGCCTTTTGTCGGACCACAGCAGCAGGGGACGAATGGCACAGACACACAGATGGCTCTCGCTGTCTCCCAAGATAATTATTAACACCAGTAACTCGCTGGTTTTGTGACTGCAAACGCTCCCACATACCAAAAAACCAGGGTGGGCGAGCATCTTCCTTTTTCCAGCACCTTGTCCAGAGCTCACTTCGTAGACATCTCCCAAAAGATGGTGCCGTGCAGACGTTAGTCCTAATTCTGCAGAGCCTAGCCTACAAGGAAATATCCCCACGGGTCATCATTTGAGTCTTCCTTAGAACCGAATCACATTTAGCTCAGCGTCTGCTCCTTAGGCACCTGAAGACAGCAAGCACAAGCCTCCCCGCCCCAGCTCACTGTAACCATATACTTAAAACTAGTGTAACGTTAGGAAACTGGTACTCCTGCTTGCATCCCTCCCTGCAGACGGAGAGGGAAAATACTTTCGATAACACAGCTGGTACCAAAGTTAGCTTACTGAATGCAACCCTATGGCATCCCCCGCCTCTCTCTTTTTTTGAGCAACATCAAAGTGAAAACACCAGCACTACGGGTTGCTTCTAAGCAAAGAGGGTAAGAGAACCTGGGGCTGCTAGCCTGTGAAATAGCGAAACGTTAAATAGCCACTTAAATAACAACGTTAGGGAAACAGAAAAAAGTGGACTAAGCGGCATAAAGGGGAGGAGAGCGTGAGTAATACCGACGGAGGGACTAGGCATTAGGAACGTGCAGGACAAGAGAAGATGAAAGGAAGAAAGGGAACTTCTGTGCTGCCCTCGCGCTGTAACACACAGGCTGGCGTTCGTGCCCGGACAAGGACGCGCCATTAAGCGGGCAGCGACGGCCACAGACTCGGGCCAAGG